AAAACCAATTTATGGTGCCAACAAGAGCTTCATCAAAGGAGTTCAACCACAATTCTCAAAAGCTTCACACACTCTTGATCAAGACAGTGTGTGAAGCAAAACCAATTTATGGTGCCAACAAGAGCTTCATCAAATGGAGGGCAACTACAATTCTCAAACCTTCGAAGCAAATTCAAGACTGTTCGAAGCAAATTCAATTTATATGGTTCATCCAAACCTTCGACTACTACAAGGTGTGGCTTGCATCACAATCTCTTGCTCAACAGTGTGGAAGCAAAATTTGTATATGTTGTCTCTCCCACATTTTCAAATTTCTAGTTTCCCAAAAAAAAAAAAAAAAAAAGGGAAATTCAACAAAGCTTCATCAATGGAGGACAACTACAAATTCTCAAAAGCTTCACACTATCTTGATCAAGATAGTGTGAAGCAAAATCAATTCATGGTACCCAACAAAAAAGCTTCAACTCCAAAGCTTCACCTACAAAGCTTCAACTCCAAAGCTTCACCTACAAAAGCTTCAACACAAAAAGCTTCACAAAATTTCAACACAAAAGCTTTCACCAAAAGCTTCACCCACAAAAGCTTCACCAAAAAGCTTCACCCACAAAAGCTTCAACCCACAAAAAACACAAAAGCTTCACCCACAAAAAGCTTCACCCAAAAAGCTTCCACCCACAAACAAAAAGCTTCACCTACAAAAGCTTGACCTACAAAAGCTTCACCCACAAAAGCTTGACCCAAAAGCTTCACTTCCACCTACCACAAAGCTTCACCTACAAAAGCTTGAACCCACAAAAGCTTTCACCTACAAAAGCTTCACCCCACAAAAGCTTCACCTACAAAAGCTTCAACACAAAAAGCTTCACACTATCTTGATCAAGATAGTGTGAAGCAAAATCAATTCATGGTGCCCAACAAAGCTTCAACCTCAAAGTTTCACCTACACAGCTTTAACATCAAAGCTTCAACACCAAAGCTTCACCTATAAAGCTTTAAAATATATATATATATATATATATTTTCGAAAATTCAAAAATTTCAAAAAAATTCAAAAATTCAAAAAATTCGGAAAATTCGAAAAAAAATTCGAAAAAAAAAAAAAAGTGCCTAGGCCTCCTCTTCTTTGGGCCTAACAACTTTCATAACAAATATATATGAAGAAGGAGTTTTGGGCTACCACTTAGAAAGGAAATGCCTCATTCGTCAACTCCCTCGACCGGAGACTTAGGGGACTCCTACCATATGCTACTGCACCTTGATACTCGGAAGTCTCACGACCACTCAGTGACTTGGATTTTTCAAGTCTCCAAACGAGAAGTTTTCCTCACTCGGGAAATTAAGGGAGCACTACCTCAACCTACATGCTTCACTCACAAAGCTTCAACATACAAGCTTCAACAAAAGGAAAAATTCAAAGAACTTAGTGAAGAAGGCCTTGGTGTATTTAACACAATACGTTGAAATGAAGCAAAGCTTGTTTATTGATATCTCCGATAAGTTACAAATATGTACATATACATGAATCAAAATAAACAAACAAGAGGGAGCCTTCACAAAGGTTGCTCAGGAGAAGTCTCAGCAGTCGGCAGAGCCCCAGAAAGAGGAGGCACCAGAGGGTGATTATTCGGAGCCTCAGTACTAGGCAGAACCCCAGAAGGAGGAGGCACCGAAGGTTGATCATTTGGAGCTTCATTACGCGGTACAGCCCCAGAAGACGAAGGCAATAAATGCCTTTGGAACAAACCCACAAACCTCTGATGATCAAGTAAAATCTGACCATCAGATTCCTGCAGCTGGTCGAGCTTCCTCTTCATGTTTGTAGCATAGTCATGTGCGAGCCTGTGCAACTGTTTATTCTCATGCTTGAGCCCTCTGATCTCCTGTTTGAGACTTATCACTTCAGCCGCCAATGATTCAACTTGGCGGGTTCGAGCAAATAGGCGTTGGGCCATATTAGACACAGAACCTGCACACTGAACACTGAGAGCCAGAGAATCCTTAACAGCCAACTCATCAGACCGTTTGGAAAGTAGTCTGTTATCTTTGGGAGTGAGAAGGTTCCTGGCCACCACCGCAGCGGTCATATCATTCTTCATCACAGAGTCCCCAACGGTAAGAGGACCAGTAGGGGATAAGAAGGATGGGCCATATGTTGTCTTGAGAAGGCATGGCTGCCTCTTCACCAAAGTTCAAGTCAAAACGACGGTCGGATGGGCCAGACATTCTCAGAAATGATGAAGGAGAAATGAGGTGCAATAAATCTCTGAAGTAAGGGGAAAATTCCTACAAGCAATAACTCTCTGAATGAACTCCTTGCACACAATTGGTGCCCTTATAAAAGAAAGGGCAACAGGGCCGTTGGTTCAAAAATCGAAGAGGCACCACTCTCCGGATTTCGAAGAGGCACCACTTTCCACACGCAACATCAGCTCATCGAGTACCACAGATAACTTTGCCAAAGATCTCTGACAAAGTTTAGACACATAAATTTTGAAGGTCCAGCTACCCTACTATTACCCACAAGGGTAAAGGAACAGCACCACTGCTTGATAACTAGAAAGTCCCAATGTGTGTCAACCTCCGTGCTCCGTGGCAAGGCAGACTGGCAAAAATGCCCAACCTTTACTCACATTCGAGAAAACTCCCAACAAGATTGCTTGCTCAAAAATCGAAGAGGCACCACCCTCCGAATCTCGAGAGCCAGACTCCCAACAGGATTACTTTCTCAAAAATCGAAGAGACACTGCTCTCCGAATCTCAAGAGTCAGACTCCCAAACAGGATTGCTTTCTCAAAAATCGAAGAGGCACCGCTCTCCGAATCTCAAGAGCCAAACTCCAACAGGATTACGTGCTCAAGAATCGAAGAGGCACCGCCCTCCGAATCTCGAGAGCCAGACTCCCAACAGGATTACTTTCTCAAAAATCGAAGAGGACACTACTCTTCGAATCTCGAGGGCCAGACTCCCAACAAGATTGCTTTCTCAAAAATTGAAGAGGCACAGTTCTCTGAATCTCAAGAGCCAGATCCCCGACAGGATTGCTTGTTTGAAAATCGAAGAGGCACCGCTCTCCGAACTTCGAGAGCCAGATTTCCTTGGATAAAGCTTATCTACAATCTTCACACGCAACATCAGCTTTCCAAATACCACAGACCACTTTTTCAAAATGCTCTGACAAAGTTAAAATACGTGAAGCTTGCAGCTTCCACTACATTGCTATGACCAAGAAGGGTAAAGGAATAGCACTACTACTTGTTGTTAGGGAGACTCCTATATATGTCGACCTCTATCCTCCACATCCAGGCAAACCTGCAAATAAAAAAAATGCTCAACTTTTCTTCACAACCGAGAGGGCACTCTCAGCAGAGTCTCTCGAAATACTCAGCTTTTTTTCCTCCCGATAATACCTCTGCAAACAAGCCACACCAGAGCAAGAGTATCTCATATCATCAGGGTTAAAAGCAAGAGTATCCCATATCATGCTTTTTCCCTGTCCTTTCCTTTGGTCTTATTCTTACCTGCAAGACAAGGAGAAAGAGAGCAATCAGTCAACACTTGGAATCAAGCTTCCAGTCAGGAACTGACTGCCTGGAACCTCTTGCCTGATTACTTACCTGGCATTGCTCTCAAGTACTCATCTTCAACATCTTATGCTTCCAGAAAAGATACCACATCTGTTTGAGGAACAGATAGGGCAAGTGAAAAGGATACAAGGAAGCATGTGGAGACAAGCGCAGCAGAACACATGCCGATTCATCTATTACTTCGTTAACAGCAAAAGTATCCCATATCATCAAGGTCGAACGCACTCTTGATTTAATGGACTTGTTTTGACCCTCAAATTCTTGAGTCGGCCTTATACTCTGGAGGAAACCAAAAAACCCTCCAGCTATAGGGTTTTGTATCGCACTTGACCAAGCCCGAAACTACAAGTAAGCTTCAAGTGAAATTGATACATTACCTTATGCATCTTCATTGGTTAAAGATATCACCCCTAGATGGAGGAAAAGTACTTCCAGAGAAGATGCCACATCTACGTATGACACAGTTAAGGCAAGTGAAAATGATACCACACTTCGGTACTTAGAAATTTCGTGATTACTCAATGGCTTGGATCTTGCAAGTCCCCAACTGAGGAGCTTCCCTCACTCAGGAACTTAGGGGAGCAATGTTTGTACCATACTTGACCAATCCCAAAACTACTGAGCACCAGTCAACGTTATACCGTCAAGGACCCAAAAGATTTTCCCTACAACCAGGAGGCCAATCACAGGGCGACACGTGTCGACATCAGAAGCTAATCATAGCGCGACATGTGTCAACATCAGAAGCCAATCACAACACGACACGTGTCAATGTCAGAATGAAACTAGAAACTCTCTTCTATAAATAGAGATCATTCTCTCACAATATTTCCTAATGTCATTTGTACTAAATCATTCACTAGTACTCACAAAAGGAGAGCTTGAACCTATGTACTTGTGTAAACCCTTCACAATTAATGAGAACTCCTCTACTCCATGGACGTAGCCAATCTAGATGAACCACATACATATTGTGTTTGCTTCCCTGTCCCTATCCATTTACATACTTATCCAAGCTAGTAACCTGAGCAATCTAGCGAAGGTCACAAACTTAACACTTTCTGTTGTACCAAAGTTCTCACTGATTTTGTGCATCAACAAATACTAAAGAATAATACCACATACCCTTACCTCAATCTTATCAAAATTCATCATGACACCCCCTTTTGTACCACATGGAACATCCCTTACCTACAATGTTGCTAACAGAAGCTTTCAAAACTATAATGAATGGAAAGACAGAATCCTCAATCTTCCAAACATGGATTACCAAAGTTACCTCATCAGTCTGCAGGGTCACTTGAGCGGGTTCAAAATGGGTGACCAGAGGCAGCTTGAGATGAAAAATGAAATTTGAAATAATGAGAAGCATGCAAAGTTAAGGCCCTATGCAAGCAACTTCTCAATGCACATCACCTGGATCTGTAATTGTCATCAGAAGAGCGCCTCCTCTCCAATATACCCCAACATGACCTTCTAGGACTTGGTGCTGAATTGATATAGTTGATGATGTTGGAAGAACCGTCTGTAAACATCAAGACGTCCTAGTTTTAAGAATTTAGCATACTAATCGAAGATCCCAGCTAGCATATCATAATATTTAGCAAAAATACAATCCAAGTCTATAGCAACTATCATTACAGAAAACGAAAAATTCCGAGAAAAACCTTCAATTCGATGCATTATTGGGAAATCGTGTAACTGTTATTCTCAATCAATTAATACAAATATTAGACAGAGGATTAATGAAGTCACCAGATGCATTTTATTGCACATGATCATGCTTAGCAAACATTAGATCATTAATGACATGACAAAAGAATGCATTACGAAACTGTAAAAAACCAAAATTAATACTTTAACACAAATATATGCATTCAGTTGAAATCAAGAACAGATACATGATACTCGAAATAAAGGAATTACTTAACCATAATAAAACCTGTTGATGCACAAAACCGAAGGTCTTGGAACAACGTAAATCCGACCGTGAATCTGCAAGAAATGTAAATAACACAAGATATATCGTGGTTCACCCCAATGTTTGGGCTACGTCCACACTGAATATGTATTTATCTGAAGGAGAGAGCTCTGAGAGTGGGAGCTTTGAGAGGGGGTGAGAGGGCTTAGGAATTGTGAGGGTGAGGAGGCCCTTTTATAGAATAAGGGCTCCTCCCCTAATTACATATTTGCCCCTTCCTTTATTACATAATTACATTTAAGTCCCTCGAGTATTTATACGAGGTCTAAATACGAGGCCCTAAATATGGTATAAACAGTAGTCCCCCAAGTCTTCAGTCAAGAGAGTCTTTTGGCTGGAGACTTGAAATTCAGTCCATGTGTGGGCCGAAGTAACTAGATGTTGTCTTGAACTGATGTTCGATGTAAGGCGGTGCTCAATCTGAAATGATGCTCAACCAGAAGTAGCACATGCTGCGAGACTGCTCGGCTTGTGGCTTATGTTGCCTTGGTTGGCTCGGCTTGTGGCGTTTGAAGGTGAGGGAGTCCCTTTTATAGAATAAGGGCTTACTTCTCAATACATAGATGATGGGCTAGAGTTGATGCTCTCTAATGATGGTGAAGGAGTCCCTTTTATAAAATAAGGGCTTGCCCCTTTATAAGTAATGGGCTAAGTCCCCCGAGTATTTTTCATGAGGCCCAGTTGAGGCCCAATATATGGTACATACTGTAGTCCCCCAAGTCTTTTGTCTGGAGACTTCAAATTGAATCCATGTATGGGCCGAAGTGGCGGTTGTTCGGGGGCAGTATTTGTATATCTTGCACTGAAGCTTTGTAGTTGAAGTTTTGCAAGTGAAGCTTTGGAGCTAGAGCTCTGTAAATGAAGCTTTGGAAGCTAGAGCTTTATGTAAATGAAGCTTTTGAAGCTATAACTCTGTAAATGAAGCTTTTGAAGCTAGAGCTTTTGTAAATGAAGCTTTTGAAGCTAGAGCTCTGTAAATGAAGCTTTTGAAGCTGATTGACATGAGTGATGCTCATGGATGTTTATGTTGATTGACATGAGTGATGCTCATGGATGTTGTCATGAGTGATGCTCATGAGTGTTAACATGAGTGATGCTCATGAATGTTGACATGAATGATGGTCATGAACGTTTATGTATGATTGTCATGAGTGATGTTCATGAATGTGATTGTCATGAGTGATGCTCATGTATGTTTATGTATGAATGACATGAGTAATGCTCATGTATAATTTGGAGTACTGGGCGTACTTTTGATCACCTGGTTGGTGGCATGAATGGCTAGTTGCCAAATTAGAGTACGGTTTGTACATCTCATCGCCTGGTTGGTGGCAATAGCGGCAAGTTGCCGAATAATTTTTGGAGTACTGGGCATGCTTTTGGTCACCTGGTGGGTGCTATTTTGGGCTTATGGGCCTTCACCCTCCACGACATGCCAACCCATTAATTTTGGGCTTTGCCTTTTTTTTTTTTTTTTTTTTTTTTTTTTTTTTTGGTATTATTACCCTCTGATGGGGTTTATACAGATGTCTCTGAGAGATAAAAAAAAATTACATTATACATCTGTCAAAAAAGTAAATCACATCATTCTGATGGGATGTTTATTCCTTACTTTTGCGTTCTGCTTTTACTTTCTGCTTTTACTTTCTGCTTTTCTCCAGACATCCATTTTCTTTTTCTTTTGCCGTGTCTTCCACTTCTTTGTGGAAAATTTCCACTAACACCTTTTTCTTTCTTTATTCCTTTCCTCCATTTTCTTCTTCTTTTGTCGTGCCCTCCATTTCTTTTTAGGTGCAGAATAGTCTTCCACTTCTTTGTGGAATTGTTTACAATTCCACTAACACCTTTTTCTTTCTTTATTCTTTTCCTCCATTTTCTTCTTCTTTTGTCGTGCCCTCCATTTCTTTTTAGGTGCAGAATTTTCCAACTTTGTGTAGGACCTTCTCCAAAATTAATGAGATGATGATGATAACAGCACATACACCAGCAACAGCCCAGGTGGGCTCCTCACCGGCTCATAGTCATGGAACTTACTGCTTCAACCAAGAAAATGGAAGGACTGTGGCAGGCGGCGACAGGCCAAGATACGAGCCCAGAAGGCTGTACTGGAATCGAGTTGGGGTGCTTCACCATTGTCTCTTTTGCCATGACCTTAGGGTTGTGGTGCTGCCGACACTATTGTCTCCTGCCATGACCTCGTGGAGCTCGACGATGTTAGGGTGCTTCACCATCCTCATCACGGAGATCTCCTTCTTGATCTGCTCCGTCATCCCCACCTTAATCATCTTCTCCTTCCCCACCACATTCATCGCTACGTTCTTCCCGCTAGGCAGGTGTCGGGCATGGTAAACCTTGGCGAAAGTGCCGTGACCCAGAAGACGACCCAACTCGTACTTGCCATGCAGCGACGACGAGCCGTCGCTTTCTTTCTGCTCGGCCATTGTTAACCGTCCTCTACGTGTTTCCGGTGGCAATTTCGACCGCCGATGCAGTGCCTGACATGTACTAAAAACTCAGGGTTGGGCAACGAAGCTTCTCCTATCTCTCTGGACCTGCACGGCTGCACCTGACAGAAGTGGGCTAGCTGGAGATCCAGCCAAACCAGTCTTCAAGAGAGCGTAGAAGATGTAGAGCCTACTAGCCCATAGGACCGAAGCTTCAAGCAGAAAAGCATGGATTCTGATCTTGGGGTTTCTGGGTTTTTTGTGTAAGAATGCGAGCTTTTGAGGGGATTTGTTGTGGGTTCAAATCCAAAACCAAGAAAGGGAGATTTGGGCAGTACGGCAGTGAGATTGTTGAGAATATGAAAAGTCAATGGATGACAACCTATCGGTGGAATCTGGACCATTAGATGATTCCATCGGAGGCGACGATGATTGGAAGGACTGAAAGCATCGTCAAAGAGATCTGCTTTTTTTTTTAAAAAAACTGGGAGTGAGACCTGTCACCAAGAGGGCCTGCACGTTTCAATGGGAGGATGAAAGAGAGAGTTTTAGAATATGATCAATCCCGTCTTTCGCGCTTGCCTTGCCACCAATTCCACGTGTTGGCAGTCGAGTTTTCTTGCATAAAAGGAGTTGGTGGGAGGGGTGGAACTTGTGCAGATAATTGCCTAGCCAGAGAGAGATGGTGGTGTCTCTGAGTGTGGGTGTTGGGTTTCTGTAGATTCACGGTGGATGTTGTGAAGTTTTCACGGTGGTGAGATGAAAATTTAAAAGAGAACCGACATAACTTTTCGTGTCGTTTCCCACAGACGGCGCCAAATGTTGATGCACAAAACCGGAGGTCTTGGAACAACGTAAATTCGACCGTGAATCTCCAAGAAATGTAAATAACACAAGATATATCGTGGTTCACCCCAATGTTTGGGCTACGTCCACACTGAATATGTATTTATCTGAAGGAGAGAGCTCTGAGAGTGGGAGCTTTGAGAGGGGGTGAGAGGGCTTAGGAATTGTGAGGGTGAGGATGCCCTTTTATAGAATAAGGGCTCCTCCCCTAATTACATATTTGCCCCTTCCTTTATTACATAATTACATTTAAGTCCCTCGAGTATTTATACGATGTCTAAATACGAGGCCCTAAATATGGTATAAACAAAACCTAAAAGTGAAACAAACTGATGAACAACTGAGTTAGTACTGTATATCAAGTGATGGATTAAGCTCGAAGATAAAATGCGATGAAATATACGAATGTCGAAGAAATATAAAGCAAATTAGCAGTGAAAAAGAAGACCTAGCCGTAGTTCGAGTTGGAGAGCAAAGTATAAAGTGTGAGAGGGGATACCACGGCTAAAATGGCGAGGAAAGCGAAGATGACAAAGAAAATGGCCGAGGAATCGCCGACGTCGCTGCCTTAAGGTGGGGGCTGAGGGCGATTATGTGGAATACCTTGTCTTTACTAGTTTGGATCCATAATTAAGCAACAAATCATCCAAAACAATCAAAAGACAACTCAAAAAACCCAAATACAACACTCACATCACTCGATAAACTGTGGCCACCAGAAAAAACTAATACCTGAGAAAAACTCAACCGCCGCTACTGGAAACACAGAGCTGTTCAAATCCCGACCACAATGTCGTTGAAGCGCTGCAAAAATAACCAAAGAAAAACACAAAGTCACAACCAGCAACAATAGAAACTAAAAAGAAAAACCAAAGGTCCAAACGAAAACGAAAAGCATAACAAAAATAAAATAAACGGCGAAGAAAATTGACCAACCAAATTAAAAATTAAAAAATCTAGCAAACTCGAATAAAAAAAATAAAAATTTCAGACAGCAAACGGAATCTAACGGCATGTACCTCAGGAGTGAGAGAGAGGACAGGGGATGAGTTTATTGCTGAAATTTCTATAGTTGCGTGTACACCTTGAAGACCTTGTAGAAATACGCATCGCCCTTGCACCTGCACAAAATTAAAAATTTTAAATTAAGGAATAACTGTTTGAAAATTAGGGTTTAGGATGAGGAAATGTGGAGGAATTTGAAAGACCTGTTGCAGCAGTAATAAGGGACCTCTATGAAGATGGAGAATCTGGCTTTCAAGGGATCGGCGCCTCCTCTGAAGATGAAGGCTGCAAATTCTTCAAACCCAGTTCCCGAATTCAACCTCCCCTCGAAATCCAGAAGCCAATTTCATTGGTTCCTCCGATTTCCAAAAACCAATCTGAAGCACGCAGCAATCCTAGCAAAAAAAAATGAGAGAGAGAGAGAGAGAGAGAGAGTAGGAGAAGCAACGATCTTTTTTTTTTTTTTTTTGGATGAGAGAAAACTATATGTAAACACTAATTTGGAAGAATGATGAAAGTGGTGATCTCTGCAAGGTGGGTTCACAAATTTTGAATAAATCAATCAGATTAAGATAAATTCTTTCAACATCAAACAAAGATTAAAATTTGTATGCAGGAATGCTGAATGCAAAAATATGCTTACCTATAGGACAAACAAATGTGAAGTCCAATGCGTTTTTGCATAAGCCTCTATTAAAGATATTAGAGAAAGAGATGAAATTAATCTGCTTCCTGGTTCCATTTAGTAAATAAATGGTTACAAAAAACTTCCATTCATGTTCTATTCAATGATATACCTTAGTTGCAACATACATCAGTGATGTACTCCTCAACTAACATTGGAGTGATCAAAGCCACAGGTGTAAGGGGTCAATAGCGGAATCCACCACCAAGGGCTGCGATAGGGAAGACAAAGTTATGGTCGTTCGTTTCAGTGAGGGGGACGCAAAATATATTTTACTTACGCAAAAGCTTGCATTTTTATTTCATACCTAACACTAAAACCTTCAATAGCAATACAGATTCACCAAACACTTGGGCATAATCCAGCAATGACCAACTAAAAAAAAATAAAGAAACTCAATAAGAACCCAGCAAAATAAAAATTCACATTCCAAAAACACATAATGGATTGTTCATATCAACATGGATGTTGTATTATGTATTAAAAAGGTAGCGGATTAATAAATAAAAAAAACAAAAATGAGAATTATGGTTGTTTAATTGTACCTAAGGTGCGGTAGTTATTTGTTGGTGTCGTGGTTGCTGGTGTTAATAGGTCTTCAAGGGAGTCGAAGACCTTGAATTAAAGAGGAATGTTGAAATTGGGATTAAAATTCAATTTCTCTGTGTACAGGACAATTTAAAGACCGAGGCTTTTTTTTTTTCACTTATACAATTCTACACACTTTCTAGCCCTAAATATTTCCAGGAAACATACGGAAAGTGAAAGCAAGAAAATTACACACAACGAAACTATTGAAATTTTAAAACCCACTTCCCAAATTAGGTTCTTTAATTGGCTAATGACCATATTGGATATAAATTATCATCTCAAACACAGCGATGGCTGAACTTTTTTTTCTAGACATTCTAATTAATCATTATTTAACTCAAGAATACAATTCATCGAACAATAATTAGTAGATAAAACAAAAGCAGCAATTTAAAAATCATGACGTTACCCGAATTCTGAGGGCTGAGGGAGATAGCTTAATGGCATCAGGTTCCATTTGCAGTCAAGAGTTGGAAACTTAATTCGAGACTCTTCTGGGTTCCTATTAACAAAACATAACATGGTGGACCAAATTAAAAACAACTTCAAACCAAGAATTATAATCTGGTTTTTTCTAATTCTTTAAGAATTCTCAGAACCCTGAACAAAGGGAAATGGGGGTCATATTCTCCTTACTCTGTCATCACAAAAAACAAAATTTTAAGTTGAAAACTTGCAATCTGTTATGTAACTTCAGTTCTGTTAAAGGTTGTTTGAATGTATTTATGGCATGTATTTCTTTTTATTTTTTCTTCACCATTTTTCTCATATGAATTTACCCAAATAATATATTTTTGAGAAATCCATCCCCTTGCATGCCGTGTTCTTATATAATTGTTGTTTTGCTAATTTTATGACCTTTATCTTAATAAAAGAATAACTGGTATATTTTTACTCAATCATGGTCATGAGTTTAAGTAGCAATCACTTCTTCACCTTCAAATCAGGCTACAAATTCAAAATTTAAAACACAAAATTCAGAGTGTTGTGCTAGGATAGCACCAAACCCGTTGGAACCAACTCAAGCTAACCCACAGGAAATTTATCAAATGAAATGCAAGAACAAAATATAAAAGAACACCAAGATTTTAACGAGGTTCCTCAACAGTCAGTGTAACTGGAGTACGTCCTCGGAGCAGTAGGAGCTCACCCAATAATCCACTATCAACCAAATGGGAGTTTACAAAATGTTGGCAATCTCACAACCCAAATAACCCAATACACCAAATAGCTCTCACACACCACATAAACAAATAGAGAAAGAAATATAATGAATAATTTCTTCTCTATACATATAGCTCAAAGCTATTACAACAACAACTATTTTGGTGAATGATTACTAACCAAATGAAGCAACAACTTCTTTTTTCTGTTTGGGCTCTCTGCAACTCTCCTGCTCTCTGCAGCTCACTCTTCTCACTTCTGCTCTTCTCTAAAAAATGAGCTCACCCTTTCTTCTCTTCTACCCGAACAACAACAATAATTATGGTAATAAAAAACCCCAAAAGAAGAAAACATCATCATTTGCTTTTCCCTAAAACAAGGAAGAAACATCATCATTTGTCTTTCACCTTTTTTTTCTTTTGATTTCTTTATTAGCCGAAAGGTGATGGCTTGTTTTGGCCATAATTCAACAATCTCCACCTTGGCCAAATTCCGAAAACGCCATGATAAGCCAACCAACACAATTGACCCAAAAAATCACTCCCAAACACTAGCAAGAGAACAACTCATGCCGAGCCAAATGCTCCAAAAAAACTCCTACTGCTCAACGCCTTCTTTATATAGGCATAATGTGAGCCAAGTTCAAACAGTGAACAAACTTGGCTACACCAACAACCTTAGTCAACATATCAGCGGGGTTGTCTTTAGTTGGAATCTTCTGGAGAATGATTTCCCCTTCACCAACAATTTCACGAACAAAGTGATAACGCACATCTATGTGCTTGGTCCTCGCATGATGAACCTGATACTTAGCCAAATAAATGGCACTCTGACTATCACAATGTACCTCCACCTGCTTCTGATCAACCCCCAAATCTCTAATAAGCCCATGTATCCAAATGGCCTCCTTTATAGCTTCAGCAACTGCCATATATTCAGCCTCTGTAGTAGACAAGGCAACAGACGACTGCAAAATGGACCTCCAACAAACTGGCCCTTTAGCCATAGTAAAACACATAGCCTGTAGTAGACTTCCTTCCATCCAGATCACCTGCATAATCTGAATCAACATAACCAACTGCCAAAATGACCAATACCAGAGTCATCCCTCTCAAAGCATAAACCAACATCTCGAGTACCATGGAGATATCTCAATATCCACTTAGCTGCTTGCCAGTGCTCTTTACCTGGATTATGCATATATCGACTCACCATGCCAACTGCATGAGCAATATCCGGTCTAGAGCATACCATTGCATACATCAAACTACCAAACCAAATTTGCATATGGTATATTTTTCATTTGCAGCTTCTCTTTATCATTTTTAGGACATTGTAGAGAACTCAATTTAAAATGAGGAGCCAAAGGGGTACTAACCGGTTTGGTTGAATCATGAACTCCAAACTTCCGAATCAACTTCTCAAGGTATTGTCTTTGATTCAAACTGACCAAACCCTTCTCTCTATCTCTAGTGATCTCCATGCCAAGGATCTTCTTCGCTTCACCAAGATCCTTCATCTCAAACTCATTCTTCATTTGCTTCTTCAATTTTTCAATTTCTTTCAAACATTTTTTTGAGGGCAATCAACATATCATCAACATATATCAACAAATAAATGAAAGACCCATCTTGCAACTTCTTGAAGTACACACAATGATCATATTGACTTCTAGAATAATTTTGGCCTCTCATAAATTTATCAAACCTCAAATACCATTGCCTTGGAGATTGCTTCAAAGCCATAAAGTGATTTTCTTCAATTTGCAAAACAAATTTTCCTTCCCTTTCACTATATACCCATCCGGTTGACACATATAAATCTCTTCATTCAAATCACCATGTAGGAAAGCCGTCTTCACATCGAGTTGCACAAGCTCAAGATTATATTGTGCAACAAGAGCTAACATAATACGAATTGAGGAGTGCTTCACAACTGGAGAAAATATTTTCATTGTAGTCAATGCCCTCCTTTTGTGCATACCCTTTAGCAACTAATCTTGCTTTAAATCTCACATTGCTTTTCTCATCAGTATCTTCCTTCTTGGCATACACCCATTTGCAACCGATAGCTTTCTTGCCCTTAGGCAATTTAGCTAACTCCCAAGTCTTGTTCTTCAAGAGAGAATTCATCTCATCACCCATGGCATTGCACCACCTCTTCTTTCTCCTCACTCTCAATGGCTTCCTCAAAATTGGATGGAATCTCTTCAGTGATAATAGGAAGAGCAAAAGCAACATAGTCACTATACCGAGCTGGCTTTGGTAATTTGTCTCTTTCCTCTGTTCTTGGCAATAGACTCTTGAGGTGAAACTTGCTCTTCAACTTGAATAGAATCTTCAAGTTCAACTTCTTCAACATCCTCATGGTCTCCCACTTCTTCACTTGTAGTGGCTTTGACATCAGCGGAAATAGGGATTTGAAAGTACCAGAGGCAACTTTCTCAAGCTCCACCTGTTGGACATCTTTCACATTCTTCTCAGAGACTTTGTACATTACTTTCTTCGTCAAATGTCACATCTCTACTAAATTACCAGTTTCTTCATCTCTGGACACCACAACCTGTAACCTTTGACACCACTACTAAAACCAAAGAAAGATAGCCTTTTTGGCTCTAGGATCAAGTTTATTTTCAGTTACATGAAAATAAGCAGGTGAACCAAAAATACGAATATGATCATAATCAGAAGAAGGTTTTCCAGTCCATACCTCCATTGGTGTCTTACCCTGAATAGCAGCTGAAGGTAACCGGTTGATGATGTGACATGCATAATTAACTGCTTCTGCCCAAAATGACTTGCTTAAACCCGACTGAGACAACATACATCTAACCTTCTCAAGCAAGGTTCGATTCAATCTTTCTGCAACTCCATTTTGTTGTGGAGTTCCCCGAACACTGAAATGTCTCACAATTCCTTCTTCTTTGCAAACTTTAAAGAAAGGATCGGATGTGTATTCACCACCATTATCCGATCTCAAAATCTTAATCTTTCTCCCAGTCTGGTTCTCAACCATTTTCTTCCAACCCAAGAAAATGCTTAACACTTCACTCTTATGCTTCATAGTGTAGACCCAAGACCTTCTTGAATAATCATCAACAAAGGTCACGAACCAATGTCTACCACTCAAAGAGGGAGTCTTTGTAGGATCCCAAACATCCGAATGCACATAATCAAGAATGCCCTTCGTCTGATGTACAGCAGTACCAAACTTCACTCTAGTTTGCTTCCCCAAGACACAATGCTCGCAGAAATCAAGTTTACAAGTCGTGGCACCTTTTAAAAGACCTTGTTTCACAAGCCCTTGTAGAGCTTTCTCACCAGCATGGCCTAATCTCATATGCCACAGTCTAGTAGTATCTGAATCAGATGTACCCATATTTTCTGAGACTACAGATGCTTCACCTGTCACAGTGCTTCCCTGCAATAAATACAAATGGCCACATCTAGGAGCTTTCATCACAACAAGTGCACCATAAGTAACTTTCAATGTATGTCCATCTGAATGAAACCTGAAA